GTCCTTAAAAAGGACAGGGAAGAAGATAGGAAGTGGGGAATCTCACACATAATTCACAGGACCAAGTCCACTGTCCCCTCACAACAGAGGACACAGTCACAATCCACAACGACCACAACCCAAGGGGGAAAATCGATCCAACCACCCTCTCACGGTGATTAGGTCAGCTGGTCCGCCCCCATTTGTGGTGAGGTGGCAGCAATAGAGTCAGTACATCCAAACAGTGTCCAGGGATCAGGTCCAAAAAACTGCCCTCTCATGGCGGTTGGTCCGATGGTCGGGTCCCCACTGCTGGTAAAGTGCTTATGTGTGAACACATCCCGATTCAGCCCTCAGGAGGCCCCAACACCAGGCCACCCTCTCACGGTGGCCAACTGGTGTCCAGCCCCCTTAGCCGAAGGGATGCAGCCATGAGCCAACCTCCATTTTCCATTGGAGGAGAGACAAATGGGGCGGAAGTGGGGCAGTTGTTTCAAGTCCCCAACCCCCGCACAACCACTTGGGAGGCAGAGAATAGATGGGGGTGGGGCCAGTCAGAATTTTTACTACCAGTTCTCCGAACTACTCAAAATTTCCACTACCGGTTCTCCAGAACTGGTCAGAACCTGCTGAAACCCACCTCTGGATGGAATGGGATGGGATGGGATGGGATGGGATGGGATGGGATGGGAGGGGAGGGATAGGGGAGGGGATGGGATGGGATGGGATGGGATGGGATGGGATGGGATGGGATAGGACAGGACAGGACAGGACAGGACAGGACAGGACAGGACAGAACAGAACAGGACAGAACAGAACAGGACAGGACAGAACAGAGCAGAACAGAACAGAACAGGAACTAAAATACAGGGGTATTTTAGAAGACACCAGATCTGTGAAGCCTTATTGTTGAACTGGGAAAAGGTTAAAAAAATCCACTACTTGAAGATTCCAGTCTGGGTCTCTGCAATTGAAGCTTTTTCTTATCCAGTGACATTTATAAAGGAACAAATTATTAGATATAGGGAATTGTTGGATGAAAAGGGTGAACTTAAATTAAAGCAAGAAATAGAAGATCAGGGATGTAAGATGGACGGGTTTTCATATATGCAAATATTTGCTAGATATCACGAAGATCTCAAACAAGAAGGTTTTTACAACACTTTGACTAATTTAGATAAGATTTTAATGGGTCCTGATGACTATGTAATTAAAAAATTATATGATTATTTGTTAGAGGCAAAATTGGAAGAAGAACAAGTTAAAGAATCAATGATAGCATGGGGAAGAATTTTGGATATGGTATTGATTTAGAGAAATGGCAAAAATTGTGGTCACATAATTATAAAATGACAATGTCTACAGCATATAAGGAGAATTTGTATAAGATATTTTACAGGTGGCATCTACCCCCGGCAAGGATAGCTAGAATGTTCCAGAATAAATCAGAGAAATGTTGGAAATGTCATCAGACTCCAGGATCTTACTACCACATGTGGTGGACATGCGCAGAAGCAAGGAGATATTGGACTAAGATACACATGTGGTTGGAAAAAATGACTAAGAGACATATTGACTTTAAACCAGAGACATTTTTATTAGGGATCTTACCAGAGACATACAGCAAAGAATTGCAATATTTAATTGTGAATCTTTTAACAGCAGCTAGAATTGTATTTGCTAAAAATTGGAAAGGAGAAAAGATAAGCCCAGGCTTCTGGTCATGGGGGATTTCAACCTGCCATCTGTCAGTGAAACATCCGAAGCAGCTCGGGAGTTCGTGGCTTCCATGATGGCCATGGACTTGACCCAGTTAGTTCATGACCCCACCCACATTGGGGGACACACGCTGGACTTGATTTTTGTCTCTGGTCAGTGGTTGAATGATCTCACAATAGGGGACCTAGTTATTAAGCCCTTGTCATGGACAGATCATTCACTGCTTCAGCTAGTCTTTCGGACCGCTTCCCCTCATCGCAGGGAGACGGAACCAACCAGGTGGTTCTGTCCCAGGCGCCTGATGGACCCTGAGAGGTTCCTGACGGAGCTTGGGCCATTCCCAGAGGCTCTGACTCACAACTTGGCTGAGGAACTGGTGGCCGCCTGGAATAGGGCGGCCGCTGGAGCCTTGGACCACGTCGCACCTTTGCGGCCTCTGACTCAGTGCTGATCTCAATCAGCTCCTTGGTTCTCTGAGGAGCTGAGGGAGATGAAGCGCCAGAAAAGACGCCTAGAGAGTGATTGGAGGGCCAGCCACACCAAATCTGACCGAACACTGGTGAGATCTTATATCAAGACCTACCTAGTGGCAATAAGAGTGGCGAAATCTAATTATTTTTCCACTCTTATAGCATTTGCAGAGAACCGCCCAGCTGTCCTGTTTAGGGTGACCCGCTCCCTACTTCAAGTGGAAGCGAGGGAGGACCCCTTGCAGGGTAGAGCTGAGGATTTTGTGCAATATTTGCATGATAAAATCTCTCAGATTCGGGACGGCCTGGACTCTGACTGGGTAGTTTCGGACGGGATGATGGGGGTGAGCCTTGAGAGTGTTATCTGGGAGGAGTTTGACCCTGTGGCTCCTGAGGACGTGGACAAGATTTTTGGGAGGCTTAATGCTACCACATATTTATTGTACCTGTGTCCCTCCTGGTTGGTGCTGGCCTCCTGGGAGGTTACATGAGGCTGGTTTCAGGAGATTATTAATGCTTCGTTGAGTGAGGGTGTCTTCCCATCCGCCTTGAAAGAGGTGGTGGTGAGGCCTCTCCTCAAGAAGCCTTCCCTGGACCTGGCTGTATTAGCTAACTACCGTCCTGTCTCCAACCTCTGCTTCACGGAGTGGTTGGTGATGGTGCAACAACTTCCTCGATTCCTGGATGAAGCTGTCTATCTAGATCCGTGCCAGTCGGGTTTCAGGACAGGTTACAGCATGGAAACGGCATTGTTCGCATTGGTTGATGACCTCTGGAAGGCCCAGGACAGGGGTTGCTCCTTTATCCTGGTCCTCCTGGACCTCTCCGCGGCTTTTGATACCATCGATCATGGTATCATGCTGCGTCAGCTGGAGGGGATGGGAGTGGGGGGCACCATGTTACGGTGGTTCTCCTCCTTCCTCTCTGACAGTATGCAGTCTGTGTTGACCGGGGGACAGAGGTCAACCTCGAGGCTCCTCACTTGTGGGGTGCCACAAGGGTCAGTCCTCTAGCCCCTCCTGTCCAACATTTATGTGACACCCCTGGGGTGAAGTGTCAACTGTATGCCAATTACACACAGTTGTACATTTCAACCCCAGGCCACCCCAATGATGCCCTTGATGTGATATCCCATTGCCTGGAGGCTGTGCGGATCTGGATGGGGAGAGGGCTCCTGAACTCACGGCTGTCGTTGGATGATCATATGTTGGCCATAGCCAGGGGTGCCTTTTATCAGGTTCACCTGATCTCCCAGTTGCGTCCCTTTCTGGATCAGGATTCCTTGCGCACAGTCACCCACGCCCTCCTCATTTCCTATCTGGACTATTGCATTGCTCTCTAAATGGGGCTCCCCTTGAGAAGCCCCCGGAGGCTCCAACTGGTCCAGAATGCGGCCGTGTGAGTGATAATGGGGGTGACCCGTCGCTCCCATGTAACACCTCTCTTGCATGAGCTGCACTGGCTCCCAGTGGTCTTCCAGGTGCGTTTCAAGGTGTTGGTTACCATCTTTAAAGCGCTCCATGGCTTAGGGCCTGGATATTTACAGGACTGCCTGCTGCCACTGACTGCCTCCCACCGACCATTACACTCACACAGAGAGGACCTCCTCAGGGTGCCGTCAGCTAAACAATGTCGACTGGTGACTCCCAGGGGGAGAGCCTTCTCTGTGGGGGCTCGTGCCCTATGAAACGAATTGCCCCCAGATATATGAAGAATCCCCGACCTCTGTGCCTTCTGTCATGCGCTGAAGACCCTGTTATTCCAACAAGCCGTTCTGATGGGACAATAATTTTAATTGGGTTTTAAATATGGGTTTTTAATATGGTTTTATAAGGGTTTTAGAATGGGAATTTTAAATTCGGCCAAAATTGAATTATTTTAATATGGTTTTTAAATTTGTCTTGTATATTGTTTTATTATGGCTGTTCACCGCCCTGAATCCTTCGGGGGAAAAGCGGTATAAAAATATAATAAAATAAATAAATAAATAAATAAATAAACAAACAAAAATAAATAGCTATTGATGAAGAAATTATTAACAAAATGATTGAATATGCTGAAATGAGTAAACTGACCTTTGAAATTGGAGAACAGGAAGATAAACAATATTATTTGATACGGGACTTATTTTATCAATGGATAGGCAATAAATCTTGGAGATAACTATGTAATAAATGGAAGTTGATATAAATTAAGTGATATAATTTCTAAAGGAAATGAGCTTGGGACATCTAGTGATAATTATAAGGGGGGAGGAGCACAAAAGAATGTCACCGATTGATATACTGTCTGTGATTGTATAGAATGATGAATGTTTTTATGTTTTGTTTTTTGTTGTTTGTTTTAAAATAAAAAAAAGTTTTATACATAAAAAAAAAACAGAACAGAACAGAATAGAATAGAATTACAGTAATGCCTTTACACATACATATATTTACAGCTCTATTTTGCTTTATGGATCTAATGATTTTATTTTTTGTCTTGAAGCTCATGCATTCCTGCCTCTGCAAGTCCTCACATGTCTTGAAATTGTGAATGAGACATATGTGACTGTCTCACTATTATTATGAAATTAGCCAGTTTGCCTTTTCCAAATACTATGGGACTCCATGAAAATGGGAGCAACTGACACTGAATAATGGTAATTATTGTCCCCATCCTATTCCAACCCATGGCTGGGACCCCCAAAGCTCTGTGAGTTGATTTGATAGTATGTTGCACTCTCTAATTTTGTCTGAAGAACACCTCCAGGAGGCAGATCTCTCTGATCTATTTCAAAGATCTTGTAGAAGACAGAGGCATTTCTACATAGAAAGAAGACACTCATCGAAGATGTTACTATTGGTGGAGATACTGTTAATAGTATTGCCTAAAGTGCTGTGCAAGAAATCAACCCTTCAATGTGACTTTCGGGAGCCTCTTCCTATTCGGCACACCTATCATCAGCTTGGAGATGTTAATATTGCTGGCATTATTTCTGCATTTGTGATATTTTCTGACCCCATTGAGTTCACTCAACATCCTTCACAGGCATTTCATGATGGATTTCTGTAAGTATATCATTAATTTACTGTCAAGCTCTGAACTTTGCTGGTAAATCATATCATTCTTGAAATATTTTCCACTAGTGGTAAAAACTCCTGATAGAACCATCTAAAATAGGATGCTTCCGTTTATTTTATCTGATGTTATATTTTACTTCATTTTCTAGGTAAAGTTGAAATAGCTGAAATGGAGATCAAATCTCCATTTATAACAAATCACATCTCAATAACTATTAATATACAGGTATGTATGGTTAATTCCATACAAATTAATTCCATACGAATATGAAGCTGTTACTACCATTAAGGAAGAGAAAGCATATATTTCCCATGACATGTTTCATCATTCTTTATTTCAGGTACCAAAATGTAGCAATTTCCTTTTGCATATAAAACATTCTTAAATCGCTGAAGTTTGATAGTGAACCATTCTCACATATAGAAACAAGAATTGTTTCACACATTCCACAAAATATGTTGTACGAAAGGATTGTAAGTGCCATAATGTGATAAAGACCTTTCTTAATGTGCTGTTTCTAATTCTGTTTTACAGAATAATTTTTCAGAATTACCAGCATATCCTGGCTTTAGTGTTTACTGTAAAAGAGATAAATGAAAATCCCCAGATCCTACCCAACATCACGCTGGGCTTCCATATTTTTAACAGCAATTTTAGTCCAAGCTGGACTTTCTTTGCCTCAATGATTCTACCTTTCACTCAGGGCAAATTCATCCCTAACTACAAGTGTGGGATCATAAATACATTGGCTGCAGTCATTGGGACACCTGACATCTCTCTTCACATGGCAACTGTACTGGGAATCTGCAAAGTTCCTCAGGTAAGATGTGTTGAGGATATATATTATCATTTTGCCATATGTCCACAAATGTTGGTATGCTTCTTTTTGTAAAAAGAGAGATCTTTTAGATTCCTAGATATTATCTGCTTGATAGAATCATCATAGCACCATGAATCACTGTCATTCTGAACAGATGGTGGGGATAGAATCAATTGAAAGGACTGTTCAAAATCAAAATCTGGAGAACAACAATGATTTGCTGGCTGGAAAAAAGGAAGAAATAAATCAAGTTAATTTGACTTTGGAGCAGGGAAAAGAGGCTGTCAGGATTACGATGGAAGGTCGCACACTGAAAACAAAGGTTTTGGCAGAGGTTTCTATGCAGTTAACTGAAAAGCAGCAAATAGACTCTTTCCTGCAGACTGATAAACTTTATCGTGACAATTTTTGGCTTTATAAACAGAATCAGTCTTTAAGGAATGAAGTGACTGATTATATAAGCAGGAAGAGTCGAAATGGAGGTTTCAAATTGAAGGAAATAACTTTTAGAAGAGAACGATTTCCAAGGATGCATCAGCCTCAAGTCCATATTCAAAAATTTTCGAAAATAAAAGCAGGGGGAGGAGCAATGCTGAAGAAGAAAGTATTACTGAAGAAGAAGGATTGGAAAAAAATATAGAAAGGAAGGAAGAATTGAAGATTTTTTTGGGGGGGAGGATCTTAATAATAAATCTGAAAAGTTTATTGAAATTTTTAAGTTTAAGTAAAAATGTTTAACTAAAAATGGATAGTTTTTTTTAAAAAAAATTACTGAGGTATTAAAATGGTTAACTTTAAAGTTATTGGATAGCTTTTTGAAAGTTTTGAAATTGATATTTTGAAGAATGAATTCAAGAGTTAGAAATAATTTAACTCAATGGATTAATAGTATCTTTAAGGTTATATTCTGAATATCTTATTGAAGTGTTTTTGAAAGTTTTGAAATTGATATTTTGAAGAATGAATTCAAGAATTAGAAATAATTTAACTCAATGGATTAATAGTATCTTTAAGGTTATATTCTGAATATCTTATTGAAATGTTTTTTTAAAAAACTTACTTAAGTACTAAAATGGTTAATTTAAAATTGAATGGATATAAAATAATATTTTCTTTTTCTTTTTCTCTAAAAAGATATGCTTTAAAGAAAGTTTTAAAATGTTTAAATTAGAATTCTAAAAGGGGAGGCTGATGAACAATTTTTAAAAGAGGAGTTAAAGAGTGTGAGGGAGTTTTGAATCTTGTAGTAAGTTAGTATATTTTAGCTTATGTTTTGTCTAATGCTATACCCTGTTTTTGCTCTGGGAGGTCGGAGGTGGGGGTGGGGAGGGGGGTTGAAGGTTGTGTGGGGATAAAATGGTTGTTTAATTTTTAACAAAATTAAAAGATAGATAAATGTATTAATAGAGAAGTAAGAAAAGTGGGGGAAATTTTATAATAAAGGAAATGATAATATTAAGATATGATAAATATTGGAGGAGCTAAAAGAAGACACAAAAGATGTACTTAGAAGATATATTGAATGATTGATTATGTATTGTTTGTTTGTTTGTTTGTTTATAAATAAAAAAACTTTTTAAATAAAAAAAGAGTGACATCTTGGTTGATATTTCATAATAAACACAACTAGTTGCATAATTTCAGTATGAAAGGTAGAAGATACCCAACTGAAATGTGTATATATATGATTTCAGAGGCTCACATGCAATAGAATTTTCAATTGCATATGTTTATCTTTCTGTAGTTGACCTATGGCTCTGCTCCAGTCATAGATAAAGAGACTCAAGCAGTTTTCTTCCAAAAAATGTTTCCGAATGAATCCCACCAACGTAAGGGCCTCCTGCAGTTATTGCTGTATTTTAGATGGATCTGGATTGGAATTCTTGTAGTAAAGGATGAGAAAGGAGAGAAATTCCTCCAAGAGGTACTCCCCACTTTTTCTGAGCATGGCATCTGCACTGAATTCATAGCAGAATTCCCAAATGGAGCTTTTTACAGTGATTTTGATGAAACGATAAATGAAGTGCAACATATATACCATGTTCTCATGAACAGCACAGCCAATGTGATAATCTTATATGGTGAATTTCAGTCCTTAACAGTTCTGAGAAGTATCCTCCACATTTCAGAAGTGGACGATATACCAAAGAAGAATAAGATTTGGTTTATAACTGCTCAAACAGATTATACTTCGACTTCCTTTCATAAATCTTGGGATATAAATTTTCTGCACGGTGCTTTATCCTTTGCAGTTCACACAAAGGAAATCCAAAACTTCCAGGAATTTCTTCACAATCTAAATCCAAGCAACAATCAGAATGATCATTTTCGGAAAGGTTTCTGGGAACAGGCATTCAGTTGTTTCTTCCCAAACTCAAAAATGGAGGAGTCTGAGAAGAAATGTACTGGACAGGAGAAGCTTGAAACCCTTCCTACATCTGTGTTTGAAACAAGCATGAGTGGCCAGAGTTATAATATTTACAATGCGGTCTATGCTGTGGCACATGCTTTGCAATCTCTCTCTCTAGCCAAATCTAGAGAAACAAGAATGATGAAAGAAAGAAGGAAACATTTTCACAATCAAGTGTGGTGGCAGGTAAGTGTGTTATGAGGGTAGTGAGAAACCACCATATCTGTAGTTGCAACATGTGTCCAAAAACACTAGCAAACAATATTCCCCAGGGATATTCATGTCTGGAAACCCAAAAGTGAGATGTAATAATGGATTAAGTAATCAAAATATTCATAGGCTGATATTCAAATGGTAAATGGCATTCTACAAAATTTCTTAAAATATCTTTCTCTCCATGAAATTAATCTCTTGTCAAACCCAAAATCAAGAATGACAGATAGTAATTCTTCTAAGCTGATTTCTTCTTGTTTTACATCTATAGATAACATTTTGTCAATCTGAGTACTCTACTATCTATATCTGCAATTTACTCTGTGAATTATTAGATGGTGTGGCAGTGGTGGGATTCAGCCAGTTCGCACCTCTTCGGGAGAACTGGTTGTTAACTTTCTGAGCAGTTTGGCAAACTGGTTCCTGGAAGAAATCATTAGGGCAGAGAACCGGTTGTTAAATTACTTGAATCCCACCACTGGGGAGCGGGGTATGTTACTTCTCTTTCTCACAGATACAATATCGAATCTGAATTGTCTTTTACTTGTCTGAAATACTCCCCCTCCATCCTGGGAAGCCACTTCCTTATTGTTCTATAAAATCAGCCTACGGATAAATGGAAGGAGGTTATTACTGAATGTTGAAGCTGTATTGATTGATTGATTGATTGTTGTTGTTGTTGTTGTTATGTATGGTTTTTGGAATGTTTGCATTTGAAGACACAATTCATTGATTCTTGAAAGTACAAACATGCCAGTGGTAGGTTCCTACCGGTTCACCCAGGTTTGCGTGAACTGGTAGTGGCAATGGCAGGAGGCTCCGCCCACCGCCCGGATTTCATCATGAACGTTCTGTGCATCCGCATTCACGAAAGTGAACCGGTAGTGAAGGCAAGTGGAACCCACCACTGAATCATGCCAATATTTTTTGGCATTTCCTGATTAGGATCTTCCCATACAATCCATAGGTGGAAGAGGAAGACTGATATATTGTGTCATTCTTATTCAAAGAAGATTCAACCTGCTGTAACGTTCCCATTTTATGAGGCATTGGTTCTGACCTCTTCATAGACCATTTGAGAGTCACTTGCATTTCTACACCCAGATATTCATAACAACACATGCATAGTTTTAGAGCAAATGGATGGAATGAGAGCAGCCTTATATGCTTCCAGGAACACGGCTCTAGGAGAAGAAGGGAAAGGAGTAAAAGTGTTTTTAATATCCCAGGCGCTTAAAATGTGGGATGTTAATTTGAGCCTACATTTTGTGACATATTTAGCAATACCAATAGCACTTAGACTTATATACCGCTTCAAAGTTCTTTTACAGCCCTCTCTAAGTGGTTTACAAGGATGCCCACAACAATCTGGGCCCTCATTTTACCCACTTCAGAAGGATGGAAAGCTGAGTCAACCTTGAGCCGGTGAGATTTGAACTGCTGAACTGCAGCTAACAGTCAGCTGAAGTAGCTGAAATAGCCTGCAGTACTGCACTCTAACCACGGCGCCATCTCAGCGCAGTGTACTCCCATTGGATGAAACAATCATCTATTTCAAATGATGGACATCTCAGCCATCAAATTCAGCATCCGCTAAATGCAGGATTTAAATTCCAGCAGACCCTGCTGGTGTTGACTCTGGCTCTACTTTAATGCATCCAATAAAAGAAATTTCATTGCCCTTTGGTCCTCATTTCCCATTGCCTAACCTCTTCTACTGAGACTTTATTTCCTAGGTAGAATATACTATGTTTTCCTGAAAAATAGTCCCTGGTCTTATTTTCTTTTAGGCCCCGAAATAAGAACTTGGGCTTATTTTTGGGTGTCTCTTATTTTTTTAACATATAAGGGATGGAAAGCCAACCAGCCCCTTCCTCCCAATGCTTGCCGGCCCTGCATCCTCTCAGAGTCAGCAAATGGTGGGGTGGAGTGGTGCCATGCACAGCCCCTGCCTTCTCAGTTACATTGAAAAATGGGGTCCTCCAGCTTTGCCACACACTCTGCAAGGAAAGACAGGTGGTGGAACATATTGCATTCCTTCGTCTCTGGCCCCACACAGGCTGCACCTGCCCCGTGCGCATCCTTCCCACCTCCTATGCTGGCTACCTCCACCACCCCACCACCGCTGCTGATCCTCTGAACTAGGGCTTATTTTGTAAGGGTAGGGCTTATATTGCGAGCAGCATGAAAAATCATGCTAGGTCATATTTTCGGTGTAGGTCATTAATTTTTGATTTTACTTTGTAAAAGTATGTCTATCTTCAATTATATTGTAAATTTTACTGGCAGCCTTTACTTAATGACAGTCATTGGGACCTGAGTTTTCATTGCTTAAGTGATGCAGGTATAAGTTGTGACATCACTTGACCATGCGGTTTAGCAACAATAATTTTGGCAGACCCCAGTTACCATTGTTAAGTGAGGATTGCATAGTTTTTAAAGCATGGAATTCATGTGATCACAACTTCCAATTTCCTTCTAGCTTCCCCATTGACTTTGCGTATGGAAAGCTAGCAAGATAGATTACAAATCACAATCAAGTAACTGTGGAATGCCATGACAGTCAGAAATAAAGGCCCATTCCTGACTTCCTGGATTGTGATCATACAAGCACAGTAAGGAAATCCTAAGTATCACTTGTTCTGCACTTACAATTTCTTATAATTTCAGATGGTTGCTGAACAAGCAGTCATTAAACGATCAACACCTGTACATAAGGGTTGCTATGCTATCTCAGTTATTGTTGTTGGTATGTCACTAAGTCGTTTCTGAATCTTTGCAACCCCATAAACCATAGCACTCCAGGCCCTCCTATCCTACACTATCTTCTACAATTTGCCGGTATTAATGTTCATTGTGCTGATGACACTACCTAACCATCTCATCCTTTGTTATCCACTTCTCCTTTTGCCTTCAATCTTTCACAACCTCAGGGTGTTGTCCAATGAGTCCAACCTGTGTCAAAGTATCTAAACTATGTGAGCATAAGCTGAAACATATGGCAAACATTGCAAGTAATTATACTGTCAGTGTCCAATTCCATCACTTTTTTCTTTGTTTGTTTACTAAAAAATTAAACATTTCTTTAAAAAATTAAATATATTCCCCATTTCTAATAGTTTATGACAGTTCTTGACCATTTGTTCTCTTGAAAAATTCATCACTATCTTTCCTGTCTTAAGTGTCTGTTTCTTTTTTCTGTGGTTTTTTTATTCATGTTTCCAGTTAGAGCATTAAGAATTTAAGAATTTCTACAGAATTAAAATAAGTAAACTATATGTTTTCAAACGTTTAGTTGAAAAAAGAAATGGAAAAAGATGTAAAAACTGAAAAGAAATAATTAAAAATTAAAAGTGATATTTAAGAGTTGAAAAAAGATTAAAATTGGGAACAAATAATTGAAAAATTGAAAAAAGCAATTTGAAAATTTGAAAAGGATTTTTTCTTTTTTAAAAAAGGGGGGATCTGCAGTGATCTTGGAGCCCATGAAAATAAAATCTGTTTTCATTTCTTCCACTTCAATTTGTTATGAAGTGATGCCATAAACTTAGCTTTTTTTATATTGTGTTTCCAGCCAACTTTTGCAATCTACTCTTTTACCTGATCAAGAGGCCCTTTAGCTCCATTTCACATTCTGCCATTAGAGTGGTATCGTTGCATATCTGAGGTTGTTTGATTTGATTTGATTTTGATTTTATTGAATTTATATACCGTCCTACTCCCGAAGGACTCAGGGCGGTGAACAGCCACAGAATAAAACACATAAATACAAAATTTAAAATAGAATAAAAACAAATAAATAATTTGGCTGAGACAAATTTAAAATACCCAATAATTTAAAACAAATTAAAATTTACATTTAAAAGGGGAAAAGATTTAGGCCAGGCCAGCTTGATGAAATAAGAAAGTCTTGAGCGCGTGACAGAAGTTGCACAGATCCAGGATCTTCCGTATCTCCGGGGGGAGCTTGTTCCAGATTGTAGGTGCCCCCACAGAGAAGGCTCTCCCCCTAGGGGCCTCCAGGTGACATTGTTTGGCCGTCGGCACCCGGAGGATCCCCTCTCTATGGTATTTGTTGATACAAGTACTGGTACTTGTTGATATTTCTTCCACCAATCCTAATTCTGGCTTGTGATTCATCAGCCTGGCATTTCACAAGATGTACTTTGCATATAATTTAAATAAGCAAGGTGACAATATATAGCCTTGTTGTACTTATTACCCTATTTTGAAGCAATCAATTGTTCCGTGTCTGGCTCTAACTGTTGCTTCTTGGCTGTCGTGCAGATGTCAGGTCTGCCCCAAACTGATCCCTTAGGAAAGGAAGATCCTTGACTCCATTTGATAAAAGCAAAGGGTTCTTTTACTAAAGGTGTTAGTTGCAGTAATGTAAAGCCAGCTCAGAATTCTCCAGCATTTGCAAGATACAAAAAAGGTTCACCCGGAGTCCATTCTTACCCCCCTGTAACCAGTCCATTTCCAGCCAACCACAGCTCAGCCAGATGTTTTGAGAATGTTGAGATGTTTGGGGATAATCCACATATTTCTCTGGGTGCTTGGCCTTGGGATGCTGGTAAAAACAGGATCTGGCTGGTCTGGTCTTTATCACCTATCCTTCCACTCTCCTGATTTCCCATCACATATAAACACAGCTTTATTGCCCTTTAATCCTTCACCCCCTGAACTTCTGGCCTTTAATGGCAGGAAGCAGGTGAGGTGCCAAGCTGAATCAGGAAGAGCTGACATTAGTCTTCTCAGGTGACAGTTATGGTCATCTGGTACTCCCAACACTTTAAGAACTTGCCACAGATTGTTGTGATCTACATAATCAAAAGGTTTAGCATGGTCAATGAAGCAAAATAGATGGTTTTCTGGAACTACCCTACTGTCTCACAATCAAGCAAATGAAGGAAATTTGATCTCCAGTTCCTCTGCCTTTTCAAAAAAAATATTTGTACTTCTTAGTTCTCAGTTCACATACTGCTGAAGCCTAACTTGTACCATTTTGAATATAACCTTGCTAGTGTATGAAATGAGTTCAATTATATGGTTGTTTTATACATCATAGTATTTATTATATATTTATTAGAAGTGATCTGGCTTAAGTAGCTTTTGCAAATAAACTAGAGCTTAATTTTATTTTTTGATGGTTGTTTATTTTGCAATTCTATGTTAATTTTTTTTCAGAAATCTGATATCTCTATCTCTGTTTTAGAATGATTGTTATTTATTTGTTTGAGAGATTACAACTTTAAAGAAACATTCATATGTATATTTTGAATATATGAATTACCTTTCCCTTCCTTGGTTTGTTCCTCTCTGATTGCTTTTGTGTTTCAGGTTCATTCTTTTCTGAGAAGTGTCAGGTTCAACAACAGTGTTGGTGAAAAGATCTCCTTTGATACAAATGGAGAATTCATTGGTGGATTTGATATTATCAACTGGATCACATTCCCAAACCAATCATTTCTTAGGGTCAAAGTTGGAGTGATAGATCCCACAGTTCCAGCAGAGAAGTTCTTCAATATTTCTGTAGATTCCATCACATGGCCAGTAGGCTTTAACCAGGTTAGCTTTTTGAATCCAGATTTGTTTGCCTTCATTTAAATATCTTTATTGATGAAAGTGTCACAGTGTCATCCCTAACTGACCTAGGTACAAATTTCCTGGAAACGGAAAGATATCAGTAAGATACTTTTTTAACTTTTCTAGTAATTGCTACTGAATATTAGGAAATATACTTTCCTGGCTCCCTGTTAATTATGGGCAATGGTTTTCATGGCTTTTAAGTAAAAGCTGCAAGCCAGCACAATAAATCTCTTTAGTTTGCTGACATCAAAATTCAGAAGTTGAAAAAACCAACCTTAACTAACTAGCACAGAAATTGTCTATGAAGAGTGATGATGGTTAACAAAGGCTATCGATACAATTATTGTAGAAATTTAATTAGTTTAATTTCAGAGCAATTACATGTAAAATTATGTCATCCTGCTACTTCATTTTTAAACTGCTGATTCCACAGCAACACTCAAAGCACTTCCTTTCCTCTCTGTATCTTAATATATTCTTCCTCATTCGTTGATAGGCATTACCTTTATCTTTATGTAATGATCCTTGCGAGACAGGACACAGCAAGGCCAAGAAAGAAGGAAAGTTGTTTTGTTGCTATGATTGCCATCTATGTCCAGAGGGGAAAATATCAAACGAGAAGGGTAGGACAATTTCAGATATACTTGGATTAAGCCAACACTATAATTTCCTATATCAACTCATCTGCATTCTTTTTCAGACATAGATGACTGCTCTCCATGTCCAGAAGATCAATATCCAAATCCCAGGAAAAATGTGTGCATTCCAAAGCGGATCACCTTTTTGTCCTATGAAGAACCCTTGGGGATTAGTCTGACTGTTCTTTCTCTTTGCTTTTCTTTAATGACAGCTTTGGTAATAACAATCTTCATGAAACACAAAGACACTCCCATCGTCAAAGCCAACAACCGGAATCTCACTTATACACTCCTAGTTTCTCTTCTCCTCTCTTTCCTTTGTGTCTTTCTATTTGTTGGGAAGCCCAATACGATTGTGTGTCTCTTTCGACAACCAGCTTTTGGGCTCATCTTTTCTGTGGCGGTTTCTTGTGTCTTAGCCAAAACCTTTGTTGTGGTTCTAGCATTCATGGCCACCAAACCCGGTTCCAGATTGAGGAAATGGGTTGGGGGAAGGATGGTCAGTTTCATTCTTCTATCCTGCTCCCTTATTCAAATATGTGTTTGTGCTGTGTGGCTGATAACATCCCCACCATATCCAGATTTTGATGCACATTCAATACCTGAAGAACTTATCCTGGAGTGCCATGAAGACTCGGTCATGTTCTACTGTGTTTTGGGCTTTATGGGTTTTCTTGCTCTGCTTAGCTTCTCTGCTGCTTTTCTAGCTAGGAATTTACCTGACAGTTTCAATGAAGCCAAATTCATCACCTTCAGCATGTTGGTCTTCTGCAGTGTTTGGTTGTGTTTTATTCCAACCTATCTAAGCACTAGGGGAAAATATACATTGTCTGTGGAAATCTTCTCCATGGTCTCCTCCAGTGCTGGCTTATTGGTGTGCATCTTTTCCCCCAAATGTTTTATCATTGTGATGAGACCTGAGCTTAATGATAAACACCAGCTCATGAAGAGAAAGCTTTAATAAATCTTTATGTTTGCCTGATATTCTTTATATGTACATGTTGGGTTACTTCCTCACTTCAACATTTAAAGTAGAGAACAATGAACAGAGACAGTGATGCTCTATGTTGCCCCGTCTTCTGGAGATTTGGATAGCTTGGAAGGGTTGAAGTGATATGCCTCCAAGAGGTTCATATACAAAAAGAATATAGAAAATTATTAGAAAATAGAAAATTAGGAACATTATACACAACTTTAGCAGATAAAAAGAAAGGGGGTATTGCCATATATGTAAAGGAAAAAATCAAATCAAATCTAAGATATGCAGACGACAAAGGTAGAATTTTGATGGTGGAATTGGTGATAGAATAGAAACAAATGCTACTTACAGTAATTCATGTACCAAATAAAAATCAACAAGAATTCTTTACAAATTTACACAAGAAATTAGTAGACATGGACTATGAAAGGCTTTGTATGATTGGGGACTTTAATTCGGTGGTGGAAGTTGAAAGAGACTATAAAAGTAATAAAAATAATAAAAAGAAAAGAAGTGTGTTACCAAGAGCCTTTTTTGATATAGCATCTGAGTTCAATCTGCGAGATGAATGGAGAGAGACACATAGAACACATAAACAATATACATTTTATTCATACCCACATCAATCATGGTCCAGGATGGATATGGCCTGGACAACAGCAGAAATTCAAAATGAAATAGAAGAAATTGAAATAGGAGTAAATGATTGGGCCGATCACAATCCAATTATATTAAAATGGAAAACCCAAAAACAAAATAAATGATGGATAATGAATAAAATTTGTGTAAAGAAAAAAGATAGACAGATGTTAGAGTGGAGTTGAAAACATTTTTTCAAATAAATAAAAAAGAAGATACTTCGATACAAAACTTGTGGGATACCACAAGAGCCTATATAAGGGGACTGACCATCGCATATAATTCTAAAAAAAATAAAGAAAAGAGAGTACTAGTAGAAAATTTGCAGGAAGAATTTTAAAAAATTGAATATGAAGTACAAAAAGATCCACAAAATAAAAAGATAAATAAAAAATGGAACATTACAAAACATAAGAAATATAAATCACATAAATATTTTCAAACACATTTGATCAGGAAAGCATTGCTACAGATTTGGAAAAAAATAAAACAAAAACACTATGTTAGCCTTCCAATGTGGTTATCGCCAACAGGAGCATTGATATATCCAAATTTATTGGAGAAAAATAAGATAATTAGATTTAAGGAATTGGTAAATGATCAAGGAGATTTGAAACAAGAATTGGAACAAGAAATTGGTAGGGTGATGGATCGGTGGACATTTGCACAAGTGCAATCTAAATTTGCAAGAGATAAAAAGATGTATGAAATACGAAAGGAGTCACAAGATTTATATAAAATTATTCGTGGAACAGAGATAAAATTAATTAGTAATATATACCAATAGTTACTGAGGTATAAAATGGAAGAAGAGGTACTTAAAGATACCATGATTAGATGCACCAAAAATTTTGGCTACAATATGGAATTGGAGAAATGTGAAAAATTATGGGAAATAAATATTAAATTGATTCTTTCAACGGCATTCAAGGAAAACCAGTTAAAAATGTTCTACAGATGGCACTTCACACCAGTACGACTTGCTAAAATGTCTTTGAACAATTCTCCAAATTGTTGGAAATGTAAAAAAGTCCACAGAACATATTATCATCTCTGGTGGACATGTCCCAATGTGAAAAAATATTGGATTAAAATTAGAAGTTGGATAGAAGAGATAATTGGCTATAATGTGGATTGGAAACCAGAAACGTTTTTACTGGGGATATTGAACAGAACTTACAGTAAAGAAATCAGTAAAGAAATTAGATATTTGATTCTGCATATAATTACAGTGGCAAGGATAGTCTATGCACAGTCCTGGAAAAGTGAAAAGATTCCAATAGAGGAAGAAATAATTTAAAAAATCCTGGACTGTGCGGAGATGGATAAATTAACGAAAGAAATAAAAGAAAAGGAAGATACAGAATATTATCTAGTATGGACTAAATGGTATGATTGGCTCGAGATTAGGGAAAGTAAATGTGAATAAATGATGGATACAAGAAGGTGACAAATGTGCAAAATAGTGTAAATGAAGAAAATTAAAAATAAAGGGACGATAAAGATAATGTTAATAAAGGATGGGAAAAATGGGGAACGTATATAGTAGAAAGTAAGAGAAACGAAACTGATGTGTAAAAAGAAACACATATCATGTGTTTGTGTTTTGTATGTTGTGTTGTTGTGGTAAAACCAATAAAAAAAAGAAAGTGTAAAAAGAAGTGCAGTTAAATAGAAATGAGAATTTGTTTAAACAGGGAAGGTCTATGATTTTTTTTTTTTCTGAAGCAATCAGACGGGGAATTCCCTGATGCACATCACTTGTAGTCGTCACGTACGAAACATTGGGTAAATTAAAAAGCTGGCCACATGTCTTCTTCTCAATAGCAAAGATCAAAGAAATCTCTGGCACAAAAAATAATTCTAGGAAATTCAAATAAATTCCCTCAGAAGTCCAATACATGTTAGTATCCAATTTGCATAATTGTCTCCTTTTAAGAGAATCAATCAAGTATGATGACTGTGTAGAACAGCATGTTTCATGGTCATAAGTCTGTTTGAGTAGATAAGAGCTTTGAAACACTTGAATACCTGGGTAGAACCGGAGGTTCAATGGTCATAAGTCATTTTGAATAGATAGTTTTGCAACCCTTGAATGAGAGGCACAACAATTGTTTTTTCCCCCCTCATCCTCACCCTCCCTTTCCCACATCTGCAAACTTTCTTTCTGGCTTTGAAGAAGACAGATTTTGTGGTCCATTTCCTGCCCTCTAGCCCTCTAGTACTCCTCTGCAGCAGTACTTAGTGCCTGTTTGACCTACAGCCACACTTCCCGTATCTTATTGGCCCAACTGGCTGGATCACCCTCCGTTTCGTCTCCTGCCACTCGCTGTTCCAATTCTGGGATAGCTGGGAATTCTTGTCTTGTCTTGTCCTATGCAGAAAGGGCTGAGCCCAGTACTACGTTGCATGGCATTATTGTACGCTACTTCAGCAAACGGTATTAAGCTAGACCAGTCTGTTTGCTAATAAGACACATAGCACCGTAGATACAGCTCTATCATCGCATTAGCCCTTTCCACAGCACTATTGGTGCTTGGGTGAAAAGACAATCTAATGGATTGCGGGAACTTGGAATTTGTATCTTTCCCCGCTTCGATGTTTGTATGATGCAAACTTGTGTCCTTTTTTTTGTTTATATTGCACCCATAGGATATTTTCTTCAATCTCATCCTGAACTCATGAATGAAATAAATAAAAGGCACTCTTAGTTGAACCAGAGTTATAATTGATAGATTTATTAAATTCATACTCCTACCAGTCTCATTGTGATGTTTCATACGTCTTCCTATGGGTCTCCAGAAAAAAATATTGATGATGTACAAGAATCAATCATGAAAATACCAATGACTATATAAAATAAATAACAATGCATTTTTAAAAAGTGAAGAATCAACCTGTGGTGAAGAAGCATTCCATGAAAGCCCACAAATAACTGCATTACACCAGCTGGAATGGAGTGGAGTGTAATGGGGTAGAGAATATGGTGTAGCGTAGTGTAAGAATGAATAGGATGGGATGGGATGGGATGGGATGGGATGGGATGGGATGGTATGGGATCAGTGGTAGGTTTCAAATTTTTTTACTACTGGTTCTGTGGTTGTGGCTTGGTTGGTGTGGCATGGCATGGCTTGATGGGTGTGGCTTGGTGGGCATAGCAGGGGAAGGATACTGTAAAATCTCCATTCCCACCACACTCCAGGGGAAGGATACTGCAAAATCCCCCTTTTCTCCCAATCAGCTGGGATTTGGGAGGCAGAGAATAGATGGGGGTGGAGCCAGTCAGAATTTTTACTACCAGTTCTCCAGAACTGGTCAGAACCTGCTGAAACCTACCTCTGGATGGAATGGGATGGGATGGGATGGGATGGGATGGGAGGGGAGGGGAGGGGAGGGGAGGGGATGGGATGGGATGGGATGGGATGGGATAGGATAGGATAGGACAGGACAGGACAGGACAGGACAGGACAGGACAGGACAGAACAGAACAGAACAGAACAGAACAGAACAGGAACTAAAATACAGGGGTATTTTAGAAGACACCAGATCTGTGAAGCCTTATTGTTGAACTGGGAGAAGGTTAAAAAAATCCACTACTTGAAGATTCCAGTCTGGGTCTCTGCAATTGAAGCTTTTTCTTATCCAGTGACATTTAGAAAGGAACAAATTATTAGATATAGGGAATTGTTGGCTGAAAAGGGTGAACTTAAATTAAAGCAAGAAATAGAAGATCAGGGATGTAAGATGGACTGGTTTTCATATATGCAAATATTTACTAGATATCACGAAGATCTCAAACAAGAAGGTTTTTACAACACTTTGACTAATTTAGATAAGATTTTAATGGGTCCTGATGACTATGTAATTAAAAAATTATATGGTTATTTGTTAGAGGCAAAATTGGAAGAAGAACAAGTTAAAGAATCAATGATAGCATGGGGAAGAATTTTGGATATGGTATTGATTTAGAGAAATGGCAAAAATTGTGGTCACATAATTATAAAATAACAATGTCTACACCATATAAGGAGAATTTGTATAAGATATTTTACAGGTGGCATCTACCCCTGGCAAGGATAGCCAGAATGTTCCAGAATAAATCAGAGAAGTGTTGGAAATGTCATCAGACTCCAGGATCTTAATACCACATGTGGTGGACATGTGCAGAAGCAAGGAGATATTGGACTAAGATACACATGTAGTTGGAAAAAATGACTAAGAGACATATTGACTTTAAACCAGAGACATTTTTATTAGGGATCTTACAAGAGACATATAGCAAAGAATTGCAATATTTAATTGTGAATCTTTTAACAGCAGCTAGAATTGTATTTGCTAAAAATTGGAAAGGAGAAAGGATAACCCCAGGCTTCTGGTCATGGGGGATTTCAACCTGCCATCCGTCAGTGAAACGTCCGAAGCAGCTCGGGAGTTCATGGCTTCCATGATGGCCATGGACCTGACCCAGTTAGTTCATGACCCCACCCACATTGGGGGACACACGCTGGACTTGATTTTTGTCTCTGGTCAGTGGTTGAATGATCTCACAATAGGGGACCTAGTTATTAAGCCCTTGTCATGGACAGATCATTCACTCCTTCAGCTAGTCTTTCGGACCGCTTCCCCTCATCGCAGGGAGACGGAACCAACCAGGTGCTGTCCCAGGCGCCTGATGGACCCTGAGAGGTTCCTGACGGAGCTTGGGCCATTCCCACAGGCTCTGACTCATGATTCGGCTGAGAAACTGGTGGCCGCCTGGGATAGGGCGGCCGCTGGAGCCTTGGACCACGTCGCGCCTTTGCGGCCTCTGACTCAGTGCTGATCTCAATCAGCTCCTTGGTTCTCTGAGGAGCTGAGGGAGATGAAGCACCAGAAAAGACGCCTAGAGAGTGATTGGAGGGCCAGCCGCACTGAATTTGACAGAACACTGGTGAGATCTTATATCAAGATCTACCTAGTGGCAATAAGAGTGGCGAAATCTAATTATTTTTCCACTCTTATAGCATCTGCAGAGAACCGCCCAGCTGCCCTGTTTAGGGTGACCCGCTCCCTACTTCAAGTGGAAGCGAGGGAGGACCCCTTGCAGGGTAGAGCTGAGGATTTTGTGCAATATCTGCATGATAAAATCGCTCAGATTCGGGACGGCCTGGACTCCGACTGGGTAGTTTTGGACCGGATGATGGGGGTGAGCCTTGAGAGTATTATCTGGGAGGAGTTTGACCCTGTGGCTCCTGAGGACATGGACAAGATTTTGGGGAGGCTTAAAGCTACCACATGTTTATTGGACCCGTGTACCTCCTGGTTGGTGCTGGCGTCCCGGGAGGTTACACGAGGCTGGTTTCAGGAGATTATTAACAATTCGTTGAGTGAGGGTGTCTTCCCATCCGCCTTGAAAGAGGTGGTGGTGAGGCCTCTCCTCAAGAAGCCTTCCCTGGACCTGGCTGTATTAGCTAACTACCCTCCTGTCTCCAACCTCTGCTTCATGGTGAAGGTTGTTGAGAGTGTGGTGGTGCAACAACTTCCTCAATTTCTGGATGAAGCTGTCTATCTAGATCCATGCCAGTTGGGCTTCAGGACGGGTTACAGCATGGAAACGGCATTGTTCGCATTGGTTGATGACCTTTGGAGGGCCAGGGACAGGGGTTGCTCCTCTGTCCTTGTCATCCTGGACCTCTCAGCAGCTTTTGATACCATCAATCATTGTATCATGCTGCGTCGGCTGGAGGGGATGGGATTGGGGGGCACCATGTTACGGCGGTTCTCCTACTTCCTCTCTGACTGTGTGCAATCTGTGTTGACAGGGGGACAGAGGTTGACTCGAGGCTCCTCACTTGTGGCGTGCCGCAAGGGTCAGTCCTCTCGCCCCTCCTGTTCAACATTTATGTGAAGCCGCTGGGTGAGATCATCCGTGGCTTTGGGGTGAAGTGTCAACTGTATGCCGATGACAGGCAGTTGTACATTTCAACCTCAGGGCACCCCAATGATGCCCTTGATGTGATGTCCCATTGCCTGGAGGCCGTGTGGATCTGGATGGGGAGAAACAGGCTCAAACTCAACCCCTCCAAGACTGAGTGGCTGTGGTTTCCGATGTCCTGATATAGCCAGCTAGACCCATCACTGGCTATTGGGGATGAGATCTTAACCCCCCTCAGAGTGGGCTCACAACTTGGGCGTCCTCCTGGACTCACGGCTGTCATTGGATGATCATATGACGGCCGTAGCCAGAGGGTCCTATTATCAGGTTCGCCTGATCTTCCAGTTGCGTCCCTTTCTGGATCGGGACGCCTTGCGCACAGTCACCCACGCCCTCGTCACTTCCCGTCTGGACTATTGCAATGCTCTCTACATGGGGCTCCCCTTGAGAAGCACCCGGAGGCTCCAACTGGTCCACAATGCAGACATGTGAGTGATAATTGGGGCGACCCATCGCTCCCATGTAACACCTCTCTTGCACGAGCTGCACTGGCTCTCGGTGGTCTTCCGGGTGCGTTTCATGGTGTTGGTTACCACCTTTAAAGCGCTCTATGGCTTAGGGCCTGGATATTTACAGGACCGCCTGCTGCCACTGACTGGCTTCCACTGACAGATACACTCCCACAGAGAGGGCCTCCTCAGGGTGCCATTGGCCAAACAATGTTGACTGGCGACTCCCAGGGGGAGAGCCTTCTCTGTGGGGGCTCATGCCCTATGGAACGAATTGCCCCTGGATATACGAAGGATCCCCAACTTCCGTGCCATCCATCATGTGCTGAAGACCCTGATATTCCAACAAGCCGGTCTGATGGGACAATAATTTTAATCGGGTTTTAAATATGGGTTTTTAACATGGTTTTATAAGGGTTTTAGAATGGGAATTTTAAATTTGGCCAAAATTGAATTATTTTAATATGGTTTTTAAATTTGTCTTGTATATTGTTTTATTATGGCTGTACACCACCCTGAGTCCTTTGCGGGAAGGGCGGTATAAAAATATAATAAAATAAATAAATAAATAAATAAATAAACAAACAAAAATAAATAGCTATTGATGAAGAAATTATTAACAAAATGATTTAATGTGCCGAAATGAGTAAACTGACCTTTGAAATTGGAGAACAGGAAGATAAACAATATTATTTGATACAGGACTTATTTTATCAATGGATAGGCAATAAATCTTGGAGATAACTATGTAATAAATGGAAGTTGATATAAATTAAGTGATATAATTTCTAAAGGAAATGAGCTTGGGACATCTAGTGATAATTATAAGAGGGGAGGAGCACAAAAGAATGTCACCGATTGATATACTGTCTGTGATTGTATAGAATGATGAATGTTTTTATGTTTTGTTTTTTGTTGTTTGTTTTAAAATAAAAAACTTTTATACATAGGAAAAGAACAGAACAGAACAGAACAGAACAGAATAGAATAGAATAGAATAGAATTACAGTAATGCCTTTACACATACATATATTTACAGCTCTATTTCGCTTTATGGATCTAACGATTTTATTTTTTGTCTTGTAGCTCATGCGTTCCTGCCTCTGCAAGTCCTCACATGTCTTGAAATTGTGAATGAGACATATGTGACTGTCTCACTATTATTATGAAATTAGCCAGTTTGCTTCTTCCAAATACTATGGGACTCCATGAAAATGGGAGCAACTGACACTGAATAATGGTAATTATTGTCCCCATCCTATTCCAACCCATGGCTGGGAGCCCTGAAGCTCTGTGAGTTGATTTGATAGTATGTTGCACTCTCTAATTTTGTCTGAAGAACACCTCCAGGAGGCAGATCTCTCTGGTCTATTTCAAAGATCTTGTAGCAGACAGAGGCATTTCTACACAGAAAGAAGACACTCATCGAAGATGTTACTATTCGTGGAGATACTGTTAATAGTATTGCCTAAAATGATGTGCAAGAGTCCTATCCTTCAATGTGACTTTCGGGAACCTCTTCCTATTCGGCACACCTATCATCAGCTTGGAGATATTAACGTTGCTGGCATTATTTCTGCATTTGTGATATTTTCTGACCCCATTGAGTTCACTCAACATCCTTCACAGGCATTTCATGAGGGATTTCTGTAAGTATATCATTAATTTACTGTCAAGCTGTGAACTTTGCTGGTAAATCATATCATTCTTGAAATATTTTTCACTGGTGGTAAAAACTCCTGATAGAAACATCTAAAATAGGATGCTTCAGTTTATTTGAAATAGTTGAAATGGAGATCAAATCTCCATTTATAACAAATCACATTTCAATATCTATTAATATACAGGTATGTATGGTTAATTCCATACAAATTATTTCCATACGAATATGAAGCTGTTACTACCATTAAGGAAAAGAAAGCATATATTTCCCATGACATGTTTCATCATTCTTTATTTCAGGTACCAAAATGTAGCAATTTCCTTTTGCATATAGGCCATTCTTAAAACGCTGCAATTTGATAGAGAACCATTCTGACATTTAGAAACAAGAATTGTTTCACACATTCCACAAAATATGTTGTACGAAAGGATTGTAAGTGCCATAATGTGACGCAGATCTTTCTTAATGTGCTGTTTCTAATTCTGTTTTACAGAATAGTTTTTCAGAATTACCAGCATATCCTGGCTTTAGTGTTTACTGTAAAAGAGATCAATGAAAATCCCCAGATCCTACCCAACATCACGCTGGGCTTCCACATTTTTAACAGCAATTTTAGTCCAAGCTGGACTTTCTTTGCCTCAATGATTCTCCCTTTCACTCAGGGCAAATTCAACCCTAACTACAAGTGTGGGATCACAAATACCTTGGCTGCAGTCATTGGGGCACCTGACATGTCTCTACACATGGCAACTGTATTGGGAATCTACAAAGTTCCTCAGGTAAGATGTGATGAGGATATACATTATCATTTTGCCATATGTCCGCCAATGTAGTTATGCTTCTTTTTGTAAAAAGAGATTCCTAGATATTATTATCTGCTTGATAGAATCATCATAGCACCATGAATCAGTCATTCTGAACAGATGGTGGTGATATTTGACACAGCAAAATGTGCCCCAGTTCTAGACATTGAACTAAGGTTCAAATCTGAAATATTCACAATGAGACTACTTTCAGAAAAAATATATTTTCATCAGGTTCGCCTGATCCGCCAGTTGCGTCCCTATCTAGATCGGGACTCCTTACACACAGTCACTCATGCCCTCGTTACTTCTCGTCTGGATTACTGCAACGCTCTCTACATGGGGCTCCCCTTGAGGTGCACTCGGAGGCTCCAACTGGCGCAGAGTGCGGCCGCGCGGGTGGTGATGGGAGCGACATGGAGTTCCCATGTGACACCTCTCCTGCGCGAGCTGCACTGGCTCCCGGTGGTCTTCCGAGTGCGCTTCAAGGTTCTGGTTATCACCTTCAAAGCGCTCCATGGCTTAGGACCTGGTTATTTACGGGACCGCCTGCTACCACCAATAGCCTCCCACCGGCCAGTACGCTCCCATAGAGAGGGGCTCCTCCGGGTGCCGTCGGCCAAACAATGTCGGCTGTCGGCCCCTAGGGGGAGAGCCTTCTCTGTGGGGGCACCTACGATTTGGAACGAGCTCCCCCCGGAGATACGTAGGATCCTGGATCTGCGCACCTTCCCCCGCGCGCTTAAGACCTTTCTATTTTATCAAGCTGGCCTGGCCTAAATCTTCCCCCTTTTTAAATGTGGAAATTTTAAATTTTTAAATTTTAAATTCGTCTTTTTATAGGGGTATGGGTAAGGCATTTTAAATTGGGGAGCCATTTTAGATTTAATTCTGTTTTAAACGTATTTTAATTGTTTATATTGTATGTTTTTAACTTTGGCTGTTCACCGCCCCGAGTCCTTCGGGAGAGGGGGCGGTATAAAAATCTAATAAATAAAAATAAATACCGCAAAAGTTACATCTTGGTTGATATTTCATAATAAACACAACTAATTGCATAATTTCAGTATGAAAGGTGAAAGATACCCAACTGAAATGAATATATATGATTTCAGAGGCTCACATGCAATAGAATTGTCAATTGCATATGTTTATCTTTCTGTAGTTGACCTATGGCTCTGCTCCAGTCATAGATAAAGAGACTCAAGCAGTTTTCTTCCAACAAATGTTTCCAAATGAATCCCACCAATGTAAGGGCCTCCTGCAGTTATTGCTGTATTTTAGATGGATCTGGATTGGAATTCTTGTAGTAAAGGATGAGAAAGGAGAGAAATTCCTCCAAGAAATACTCCCCACTTTTTCTGAGCATGGCATCTGCACTGAATTCATAGCAGAATTCCCAAATGGAGCTTTTTACAGTGATTTTGATGAAACCGTAGATGAAGTGCTACATATATACCATGTTCTCATGAACAGCACAGCCAATGTGATAATCTTATATGGTGAAATTCAGTCCTTAACAGTTCTGAGAACTATCCTTCAGATTTCAGAAGTGGATGATATACCAAAGCAGGATAAGATTTGGCTTATAACTGCTCAAACAGATTATACTTCAATTTCCTTTCATAAATCTTGGGATATAAATTTTCTGCACGGTGCTTTATCCTTTGCAGTTCACACAAAGGAAATCCAAAACTTCCAGGAATTTCTTCAAAATCTAAATCCAAGCAACAATCAGAATGATCATTTTCGGAAAGATTTCTGGGAACAGGCATTCAGTTGTTTCTTCCCAAACTCAAAAATGGAGGAGTCTGAGAAGAAATGCACTGGACAGGAGAAGCTTGAAACCCTTCCTACATCTGTGTTTGAAACAAGCATGAGTGGCCAGAGTTATAATATTTACAATGCGGTCTATGCTGTGGCACATGCTTTGCAATCTCTCTCTCTATCCAAATCTAGAGAAACAACAATGATGAAAGAAAGAAGGAAACATTTTCACAATCAATTGTGGTGGCAGGTAAGTGGGTTACCAGGGTAGTGAGAAACCACCATATCTGTATTTGCAACATGTGTCCAAAAACTCTAACAAACAATATTCTCCAGGGATATTGATGTCTGAAAACCCAAAAGTAAGATGTAATAATGGATTAAGTAATCAAAATATTCATAGGCTGATATTCAAATGGTAAATGGCATTCTACAAAATTTCTTAAAATATCTTTCTCTCCATGAAATTAATCTCTTGTCAAGCCCAAAATCAAGAATGACAGATAGTAATTCTTCTAAGATGATTCCTTCTTGTTTTACATCTATAGATAAAATTTTCTCAATCTGAGCACTCTACTATCTATATCTGCAATTTTCTCTGTGAATTATTAGAGTGTGTGGCAGTGGTGGGATTCAGCCAGTTCGCACCACTTCGGAAGAACTGGTTGTTAACTTTCTGAGCAGTTTGGCAAACTGGTTCCTGGAAGAAATCATTAGGGCAGAGAATCGGTTGTTAAATTACTTGAATCCCACCACTGGGGGGCGGGGTATGTTACTTCTCTTTCTCACAGACACAATATCCAATCTGAATTGTCTTTTACCTCTCTGAAATACTCCCCCTCCATCCTGGGAAGCCACTTCCTTATTGTTCTATAAAATCAGCCTACAGATAAATGGAAGGAGGTTATTACTGAATGTTGAAGCTGTATTGGTTGTTGTTGTTGTTGTTGTTGTTGTTGTTGTTGTTGTTGTTGTTGTGGTTATGTATGGTTTTTTTGAATGTTTGCATTTGAAGACACAATTCATTGATTCTTGAAAGTACAAACATGCCAGTGGTAGGTTCCTACCGGTTCGCCCAGGTTTGCATGAACCGGTAGTGGTGGCAGTGGGAGACTCTGCCCACCGCCCGGATTTCATCATGAACGTTCTGTGCATCCGCATTCACGAAAGTGAACTGGTAGTGAAGGCAAGTGGAACCCACCACTGAATCATGCCAATATTTTTTGGCATTTCCTGATTAGGATCTTCCCATACAATCCATAGGTGGAAGAGGAAGACTGATATATTGTGTCGTTATTATTCAAAGAAGATTCAGCCTGCTGTAATGTTCCCATTTTATGAGGCATTGGTTCCGACCTCTTCATAGACCATTTGAGAGTCACCTGCATTTCTACACCCAGTTATTCACAACACATGCAGAGTTTAGAGCAAATGGATGGAATGAGAGCAGCCTTACAAGAACACGGCTCTAGGAGAAGAAGGGAAAGGAGTAAAAGTGTTTTTAATATCTCAGGAACTAAGTAAAAGAGGACCAAGGTGGGATGTTAATTTGAGCCTATGTGAGATATTATGTGAAACATTTAGCAATAGAAATAGCACTTATATACTGCTTCAAAGTGCTTTTAAAGCCCTCTCTAAGCAGTTTACAACATTGTTCCCAACAATCTGGGTTCTCATTTTGCCCACCTCGGAAGGATGGAAGGCTGAGTCAACCTTGAGCTGGTGAGATTTGAACTGCTGAACTGCAGCTAGCAGTCAGTTGAAGTAGCTGAAGTAGCCTGCAGTACTGCACTCTAACCACTGTGCCACCTCAGCGCAGTATACTCCCATTGGATGAAACAATCATCAATTTCAAATGATGGACATCTCAGCCATCAAATTCAGCATCCGCTAAATGCAGGAATTAAATTCCAGCAGCTCCTGCTGATGTTGACTCTAGCTCTACTTTAATGCATCCAATAAAAGAAATGTCATTGCCCTTTGGTCCTCAATTCCCATTGCCTAACCTCTTCTACTGAGACTTTATTTCCTAGGTAGAATATACCGTGTTTCTCTGAAAAATAGTCCCTGGTCTTGTTTTCTTTTAGGCCCCGAAATAAGGACTTGGGCTTCTTTTCGGGTGTCTCTTATTTTTTTCACGTACAGGGGATGGAAAGCCCACCAGCCCTGTCTTCTCTGTCCCAAAGCTTGCTGGCCCTGCTGCTACAAGGACACTTCTCAACCGCTGGCCTCCAAACAGTGGCCTGTGCTGCTGCTGACCTCATGGGGGTTCTTTGCCCCCCTGGTAGTGCTGCTCTTGGCTACCCGAGTTGTCCCAGATCTATGACCTCCAGACCACCCCGCTGCTGCCAGTTGAGCCATGCTGACTGCACCGTCTCTCATAGCCAGCAAATGGTGGGGTGGGGTGGGGCCATGACACAGCCCCTGCCTTTTCAGTTCCCACTGACAAATGGGGTCCTCCTTTGCCACACACTCTGCAAGGAAAGACAGGTGGTGGAACGTATTACATTCCTTCCTCCCATGTGCCATAAAGGCTGAACCTGCTTCTGGACATTGTCTTCCCCATGTGCATCCTTGCCACTTCCTGTGCTGGCTACCCCCACCACCCCACCCCTGCTGCTGATTCTCTGAACTAGGGTTTATTTTGTAGAGGTAGGGCTTATATTGTAAGCAGCATGAAAAATCATGCTAGGTCATATTTTCGGGGTAGGTCATTAATTTTCAATTTTACTTTGTAAAAGTAAGTCTATCTTCAATTATATTGTAAATTTTATGGCAGCCTTTACTTAATGACGGTCATTGGGACCTGACTTTCCATTGCTAAGTGATGCAGGTATAAATTGTGACATCACTTGACCATGCAGTTTAGCAACAATAATTTGGGCAGACCCCAATTACCATTGTTAAGTGAGGATTGCATAGTTTTTAAAGCATAGAATTCATTTGATCACAACTTCCAATTTCCTTCTAGCTTCCCCATTGACTTTGCTTGTGGAAAGCTAGCAAGAAAGACTACAAATCACAATCAAGTAACTGTGGAATGCCATGACAGTTAGAAATAAAGGCCAATTCCTGACTTCCAGGATTTTGATCATACAAGCACAGTAAGGAAATCATAAGTATAATTTGTTCTGCACTTACAATTTCTTATAATTTCATATGGTTGCTGAACAAGCAGTCATTAAACAATGAACACCTGTACTTAAGGGTTTCTGTGCTATTTCAGTGATTGTTGTTGGTATGTCACTAAGTCGTTTCTGAATCCTTGCAACCCCATGAACCATAGCACCTCAGGCACTCCTATCCTCCAGTATCTTCTACAATTTGCCCGTATTAATGTTCATTGTGCTGATGACACTACCTAACCATCTCATCCATTGTTATCCACTTCTCATTTTGCCTTCAATCTTTCACAACCTCAGGGTGGTGTCCAATGAGTCCAAAGTGTGCCAAAGTATCTGAGCTATGTGGGCATAAGCTGAAACATATGGCAAACATTGCAAGTAATTATACTGCCAGTGTCCATTTCCATCACTTTTTTCTTTGTTTGTTTGTTTTTTGTTTACTAAAAAATTAAACATTTCTAAAAATTTAAATATATTCCCCATTGCTAATAGTTTATAAGAGTTCTTGACCATTTGTTCTCTTGAAAAATTCATCACTATCTTTCCTGTCTTAAGCATCTGTCTCTTTTTTTCTGTGGTTTTTTATTTATGTTTCCACTTAGATCATTAAGAATTTAAAAATTTCTACAGAATTAAAATAAGTAAACTATGTTTTCAAATGTTTAGTTGAAAAAAGAAATGGAAAAAGATGTAAAAACTGAAAAGAAATAATTAAAAATTAAAAATAATATTTAAGAGTTGAAAAAAGATTAAAATTGGGAACAAATAATTGAAAAGTTGAAAAATTGAAAAAAGCAATTTGAAAATTTGAAAAGGATTTTTTCTTTTAAAAAAGGGGGCATCTGCAGTGATCTTGGATCCCATGAAAATAAAATCTGTTTTCATTTCTTCCACTTCTATTTGCTATGAAGTGATGGCAACAGATGCCATAAACTTAGCTTTTTAATATTGCGTTTCAAGCCACGTTTTGCACTCTACTCTTTTACCTCATCAAGTGGCTCTTTAGTTCCTTTTCACTTTTTGCCATTAGTGTGGTATCGTTGCATATCTGAGGTTGTTGATATTCCTTCCACCAATCCTAATTCTGGCTTGTGATTCATCCAGCCTAGCATTTCACAAGATGTACTTTGCATATAATTTAAATAAGGAAGGTGGCAATATAGACCCTTGTTGTACATATTACCCTATTTTGAAGCAATCAATTGTTCCATGTCTGTCTCTAACTGTTGCTTCTTGGCTGTCATGCAGATGTCAGGTCTGCCCCAAACTGATCCCTTAGGAAAGGAAGACCTTTGACTCCATTTGGTAAAAGCAAAGGGTTCGTTTTCTAAAGGTGTTGGTTGCAGTAATGTAAAGCCAGCTCTGAATTCTCCAGCATTTGCAAGATACAAAAAAGGTTCACCCAGAGGCCATTCTTACCCTCCTATAACCAGTCCATTTCCAGCCAACCACAGCTCAGCAAGATGTTTTGAGAATGTTGAAATGTTTGGGGATAATCCACATATTTCTCTGGGTGCTTGGCCTTGGGATGCTGGTAAAAACAGGATCTGGCTGCTCTGGTCTTTATCACCTATTATTCCACCCTCCTGATTTCCCATCACATATAAACACACCTTTATTGCCCTTTAATCCTCCACCCCCTCCACTTATGGCCTTTAATGGCAGGAAGCAGGTGAGGGGCCAAGCTGAATCAGGAAGAGCTGACATTAGCCTTTTCAGGCTAACGACCACAGTTATGGTCGTCTAGTACTCCGAACACTTTAAGAAATTGCCACAGATTTTTGTGATCCATGTAATCAAAGGGTTTAGCATGGTCAATGAAGCAAAATAGATGGTTTTCTGTAACTACCCTACTGTCTCATAATCAAGCAAATGAAGGAAATTTGATCTCCAGTTCTTCTGCCTTTTCAAAAAAATTATTTGTATTTCTTAGTTCTCAGTTCACATACTGCTGAAGCCTAACTTGTACCATTTTGAATATAACCTTGCTAGTGTGTGAAATGAGTTCAATTATATGGTAGTTTTATACATCATAGTATTTATTATATATTTATTAGAAGTGATCAGGCTTAAGTATATTTTGCAAATAAACTAGGACTTAATTTTATTTTTTGATGGTTGTTTATTTTGCAATTCTATGTTAATTTTATTTCAGAAATCTCATATCTCTATCTCTGTTTTAGAATGATTGTTATTTGTTTGTTTGAGGGCTTACAACTTTAAAGAAACATTCATATGTATGTTTTGAATATATGAATTACCTTTCCCTTCCTTGGTTTGTTCCTCTCTGATTGCTTTTGTGTTTCAGGTTCATTCTTTTCTGAGAAGTGTCAGATTCAACAACAGTGTTTGTGAAAAGATCTCCTTTGATACAAATGGAGAATTCATTGGTGGATTTGATATTATCAACTGGATCACATTCCCAAACCAATCATTTCTTAGGGTCAAAGTTGGAGTGATAGATCCCACAGTTCCAGCAGAGAAGTTCTTCAATATTTCTGTAGATTCCATCACCTGGCCAGTAGGCTTTAACCAGGTTAGTTTTTTGAGTCTAGATTTCTCTGCCTTCATTTAAATATCTTTATTGATGAAAGTCTCACAGTATCATATCTGACTAATCTAGGTAGAAATTTCCTGGAAAAGGAAAGATATCAGTAAGTTTTGTTTTGTTTTTTTACTTTTCTAATAATTACTATTGAATATTAGGAAATATACTTTCCTGGATCTCTGTTAATTATGGGCAATGGTTTTAACAGTTTTTAAGTAAAAGCTGCAAGCCAGCACAATAAATCTCTTTAGTTTGCTGACATCAAAATTCAGAAGTTGAGAAAACCAACCTTAACTAACTAGCACAAAAATTGTCTATGAAGAGTGTTGATGGTTAACGAAGGCTATCAATACAATTATTGTAGAGATTTAATTAATTATAATTTCAGAGCAATTACATCTAAAATTATGTCATCCTGCTACTTCATTTTTAAACTGCTGATTCCACAGCAACACTCAAAGCACTTCCTTTCCTCTTTGTATCTTAATATATTCTTCTTCATTCGTTGATAGGCATTACCTTTATCTTTATGTAATGATCCTTGCGAGACAGGACACAGCAAGGCCAAGAAAGAAGGAAAGTTGTTTTGTTGCTATGATTGCCATCTATGTCCAGAGGGGAAAATATCAAACGAGAAGGGTAGGAAAATTTCAGTTATACTGGGATTAAGCCAACACTATAATTTCCTATATCAACTCATCTGCATTCTTTTTCAGACATAGATGACTGCTCTCCATGTCCAGAAGATCAATACCCAAATCCTGGGAAAAATATGTGCATTCCAAAGCGGATCACCTTTTTGTCCTATGAAGAACCCTTGGGGATCAGTCTGACTCTTCTTTCTCTTTGCTTTTCTTTAATGACAACTTTGGTAATAACAATCTTCATTAAACACAACGATACCCCCATCGTCAAAGCCAACAACCGGAATCTCACTTATACACTCCTAGTTTCTCTTCTCCTCTCTTTCCTTTGTATCTTTCTATTTGTTGGGAAGCCCAATATGATTGTGTGTCTCTTTCGACAACCAGCTTTTGGCCTCATCTTTTCTGTGGCAGTTTCTTGTGTCTTAGCCAAAACCTTTGTTGTGGTTCTAGCATTCATGGCCACCAAACCCGGTTCCAGATTGAGGAAATGGGTTGGGGGAAGGATGGTCAGTTTCATTCTTCTATCCTGCTCCCTTGTTCAAATATGTGTTTGTGCTGTGTGGCTGATAACATCCCCACCATATCCAGATTTTGATGCACATTCAATACCCGAAGAACTTATCCTGGAGTGCAATGAAGACTGGGTCATGTTCTACTGTGTTTTGGGCTTTATGGGTTTTCTTGCTCTGCTTAGCTTCTCTGCTGCTTTTCTAGCTAGGAGTTTACCTGACAGCTTCAATGAAGCCAAATTCATCACCTTCAGCATGTTGGTCTTCTGCAGTGTTTGGTTGTGTTTTATTCCAACCTATCTAAGCACAAGGGGAAAATATACATTGGCTGTGGAGATCTTCTCCATGATCTCCTCCAGTGCTGGATTATTGGTGTGCATCTTTTTCCCCAAATGTTTTATCATTGTGATGAGACCTGAGCTTAATGATAAGCACCAGCTCATGAAGAGAAAGTTTTAATAAATCTTTATGTTTGCCTGATATTCTTTATATGTACATGTTGGCGAACTTCCTCACTTCAACATTTAAGCTAGAGAACAATGTACAGAGACAGTGATGCTCTATGTTGCCCCGTCTCCTGAGATTTGGATAGCTTCATAGGTTTTGTTTTGGGAAGCCAATTATAACTGAGGTCTATAACTGAGGGAATTCCCTGATGCACATAACTTGTAGTGGTCACCTACAAAACATGGGGTAAATTCAAAAGCTGGCCATATGTCTTCTTCTCAATAGTCAAGATCAAAGAAATCCTGGCACAAAAAATAATTCTAGTAAATTCAAACAAATTCCATCAGAAGTCCAATACATGCGAGTATCCAATTTGCATAATTGTATCCTTTTAAGATATTCAATCAAGTATGATGACTGTATAGAATAGCATGTTTCATGGTCATGAGTCTGATTGAGTAGATAAGAGTTTTGCGATATTTGAATAACTGTGTAGAACCAGAGGTTAATTGGTCATAAGTCTGTTTGAGTAGATAGTGTTGCAACTAGGGCCTCCTTATATTCTTCTGGTATTTTTGGTAAATTAGACTTTTCTAAACATTGTATAATCTTCTCTTCTGATACTGTCTCTTGCTCATAGAGTTCCTTATAATATTTCTGTACCACTTTTTTCTTTTCCTCATTCTGGTAACATATCTGTCCTCCCTCCTCTATTAATTGGTTAATTAGTTTTTTCTCCTTCTCCCTTTTCATTTTGTATGCCAGCCATCTACCTGGTTTATTAGTATTTTCAAAATAGTTTTGTTTGGACATTTTTATTTGATAAGCCAAGTCTTCTTTTTCAATTAAGTTCGTTTCATGTTTTTTCAAATCCATTTGGTTTTTAATCCTCTTGCTTTGAGTGTTTTTTTGTAATTCCATCTCCAGTTCCTTGTATTCTTCTTCCAATTTTTTCTGTGTTTGTGTTTTCTTTTTATTTCTTTTTCCCAAATAGGTCATTGTCAACCCTCCAATATATGCTTTAACTATATCCCACACATTTTGCAATGAGGTATCTTCCTTTCTGTTTTCCTTAAAAAAGAAACCTAATTCTTTCTCTACAGATTGTTGAAACTCTTCTTTATTTAGTATTGTTTGGTTCAATGTCCATCTTAATCTCTTTCTTTGTCCCTTCCATATAATAATAATCAGGTTATGTTCCGCCCAAATACTTGTTTCAATGTTTATATCTTGTACATTAGCTAATAAGTCGATTGACATCCACATCATATCTCTTCTGACCATGACTTGTGTCTATTTGATTAAAAAGTATACTGCTTTTCTTTCAAATGTCTTTCTCGCCAAACTTCTTTGATGCCTATTTCCTCTACCATTGTGAAAAAGGCCTTTGGAAGCCTTTTTCTAGGTTTCTTATTAACTTTTGTTGTCTTATAGTCCCAATCTACTTCCCTTATCACGTAGAAGTCTCCCATTATGCAAATATTGTCATACTCAAATTCTATTATTTTCCTGTGCAATTTTCCATAAAATTCTTCTTGTTTATCATTTGGTGCATATATCACCACTAACAATATTTGTTTATTGTTCATTGTTACTTCCACCATTAAAATCCTCCCTTCTTCATCAGCATATATTTGTTTAGGTTCTAGTCTCCTTTTAATGTATAATACTACGCCTCTTTTAGTTTGATTTGTCAATATAGTAAACAAATCGCCCAATTTTGGATACTCCAATAATTTTTTGTATTGCTTTCTGATATGAACTTCTTGTAGATGTACAATGTCCATTTTTAGTTTTCCCAATTTATTAAGAGTTCTTTTCCTTTTTATCACCAAATTCAAACCATTAATATTTATTGATATTGTTTTGATTTCTTCTTCCATGTTTTACTTGTTACTAGTTTTTGTTCATCTTATCATTCTTATCTCTCTTTGATCCTTGGGCTCTTTTGATCTTGCCCCCTCTCTTATTGTCTTTTATTCTTGTTCTTTTATCGTCTCACTTTTTTGATCTTTTTCCTCTCTCAATCTTTGCTCTTCTTGGGGCCCCAAATATTGGTCATAAAATGATTCTGCTTTCTCTATCGAATCCAGTCTATGTCTTTGCGCTTGCCAGTAAACCAATATTCCTTCTGAATAACCATCTGAAATTTACTCCTTTTTGGATGAAAGGTTTTGTCAAAAATTGATGTTCTCTCCTCAGGTCTCTCACTCTCCTGGGTATCTCTTTCAACACCACAATCTCTCTGTCCTTGTATTTTATTGGAGTATTTCTTGCTACCTGTAATATTTCTGTTTTTATTGCTTTTTCTGGTAAATCTTATGTGCACCTCTCTTAGCAATTTATTTCTCATTGCATATTGAGTATGCACTCTGTATATCTCATCAATCCCATTTAATATTTTTTCCTTGGTTTCCTCCACCACTTCCGCCAGTATCTCCGCCACCACTTCTGCCATATTGTCTCCCTTCTCTTCTTCTATATTTTGAAATCTTAAGTAGTACCCCACTCTGTTCATTTTGAGAGAGATAATTGTTTTTTCCTGTTTTTTGTCAGCCATTGTGAGTCTGCCATCCATTTTCTCCACTTTTTTTCTGTTGAATCTGCCTTTTCCTCCACTTTCTGTATTCTTTCTTCATTCTTTCCCATCATCGCCTTCACTTCTTTAAGCTCTCCTTCTACCTTCTCCATTCTTTTTTAAATGTCTTCATGAAAGACCTGTATCATATTTTTTAGTTCCAGTTGCATTGCCATGGTATCCAGTGTCCTCTGCACTGCAGGGCTTGAAGCTGGTGTTGTGGAAGGTAACTGCATTGTTGCCTTCTTCATCTTGTCCTATCTTGTCTACTATAATCCACTGAATTTATAATCCAAATAAGATTTAAATTTATAATTTAAATACCTAATCCACCCCGTTGGATGGATTGGTTAAAAATAGAAGTCAAAAAGATCCATCACACCCAAAAACACAGAGCAAAAGGCCAAAGGGGAATAATAAAAGAAAGAAAGAAAGAAAGAAAGAAAGAAAGAAAGAAAGAAAGAAAGAAAGAAAGAAAGAAGAGAAAAAAACCCAAAGACTTCTGATTCTTCAGGTTCTTCTTACCTTAATCCATTTTCTTGTTTCAAATACTCAAAAAACCAACCAGCCCCCCCCCCAAAAAAATGGAACATGAAAAAAAATACAAAACTTAATCCAATCAATGGAAATAGTTCAGGAGAAAAAAGAAAGAAAAAAGAAAAGGAATCACTAAAAATGGTCAAATCCTAAGCCAAAAAAGTGGAAGATAAAAAAAAAAAAAAAGAGAGAACAGTCACAAGGAAAAAAAAAAGGATGTCCAAACACGGCTGTTTATATTGTCTCATTTGTCTTATTCTTGTTTCTATTTCAAAAGCTTCAAAAGGCACACTATTTCAACTACTAGTAAGGCTATCTATCTCAATATGCAGTTCTTGCCAGACACAGTTGTTTCTTATCAGTCCAAGCCTACAATCTACAATCTCAAGGCCAGTCCTCTCAGTCAGTTTAATTGAAACAATGTATTTTTATTTGTGTCTCTAGATGGCACTGCAAATCACTTTCATTCAGAAGAAATAAAAAGTGGGGAAAAATAGGAAAAGTTTTATAACTAGTTCTTTCAATAATTTCCACTCAGGCTCATTCACTTAGCATAAATCCACAAATTCAAAATTTACAAATATTCAATCAGGCTTCCTGTTCTTATTTTCTTGTTTTCCAGAGTAATTTTGTTACTTCATTCAATTCATTTCTTCCACTTGGGTCAATCCACTTTCTTCGCCACTAAACAGCTGAGGGTAGAGAGCTGACACACGCCCTGCTCTCCCATCTTCTCTTTGCACCCTTTCGTTCAAGTTGTTTTCTGGGGTTTATTAAAAAGAAACTTCAAATCAGAAGGCAAAACAAAAAATTGGCTTCTCACCCAGATGAATCCACGTCTGCTGCTTCTCCAGTCCTGCTATGACCACCTTGGCTTTATTTCGGCTCATTCAATGGCTGCTTTCTAGGTCATCTGGCTGAAAGGCTTCTTCTTTTTTAAAAAAATTTTTTCCAAATTTTATTTATTTAAAAATACAAACAAAACAAAACAAATAACAACAAAACATACAAAACATGTAAACATGTAAGCAATAATTCAAATATACATCTTATCAAATTTGTTGCAACTGTACTGTCTGTTCTTATTTGTGCTTTTGACTCCTCCTTCTTTCTCTTATATCTATCTTTGTAATTCACTGTTGACCTGCATTAGTAGTTTATGTTCCTATTTTTGTATTAGGTCACTCCACTTGCTTCCTAATCTTTTTTCTCTTTTCTATCTTCCAACCATGTGTACCACTTTCCCCATACTAGATAGTAATCATGTTCCTCTCTATTTTGTAATTCCTTGTGAGTCTGTTCATTTCTGCACATTCCATGATTTTACTAATTACTCTATCTTCTGTTGGTATGTCACTACTCTTCCAATTTTGTGCAAAAATTATTCGTGCCGCTGTTGTTATATGAATGATTATGTATTTTATTTCCTTTTCATATTGTCCATTTATTATGCCTAGTAGAAAGGTTTCTGGCCTCATTTCTATTCTTTGTTGCAATTTCTTCTATTTGTGTTCTGATCGTTTGCCAGTATTGTTTTGCCTTTGGGCAGGTCCACCACATGTGATAATAGGTTCCTTTGTGATGTTTGCATTTCCAGCATGTTGGGGAAGTATTGGGGAACATTCTTGCCAGTCTGGCCGGTGGGAGGTGCCACCTATAAAACATTTTGTACAGATTTTCTTTATAGGGTACAGACATTGTTAATTTATAATTTATTGTCCATAATTTTTCCCAATTGTCTAATTCAATATTATAGCCAAAATTCTTTGCCCAAATTATCATGTTTTCTTTCACCACCTCTTCTTGTAATTTATATCCTCATAAATAATTATAAACATTTTTAATCAATTTGTCCTGTGATCCTTGTAAAATTTTATCTAATTCGTATTGGCCTTTTTGGAATCCAAATTGAGCCGAATCTT